GCTGAACCAGCTGAACCAGAAGGGCATAGAGTCTGAGAGGCAGAGTGACATAGGGAGACAGTGGAGGCAAGAGGCCCAGACAGGGGACCGGAATGCTAAAGGCAGAGGTGGAGGGCCAAAGGGGCTTGGGACGGGTCCAGACAGCGCAGAGCTTAATGGGTAGGGAGCCAGGATGCCAGAGGGGATGGAATCCAGGCTTCGAAAAAGACAGGACACGGAGATTGGGGGGTTAGAGGAGCCCGATGGCCAGAGGATTGCAGAGACAGAGGAGCAAGGCGCCTGTCCCCCACCCACCCTCTACCCCTCCGGCTCCCTCAGGCCCTGGCTCACCAAGGCAGCGGGTGCCATCCAGGCTGCTGGCAAAACCACGGGGACAGGTGCACACGTAGCTCCCAGCCGTGTTGGTGCAGTCGCCCCCGGAGCAGAGGCCGGGCAAGCTGAGACACTCGTTTACGTCTGCGTAGACAGACACGGGTCAGAGCCGAGCCCCCAGCAGCCCTAGGCCACCTCCTCCTCATGTGGGACCTGGACGGTCCAGAGCACATGCAGGTCCCCCTCCCCACCGCCCACCTTCACACTTGGCACTGTTCTCACTGAGCCGGTGTCCAGTTGGGCAGTGACACTCAAAGGAGCCCACAGTGTTGACACAGCTGCCTCCCTGGCACAGGCCTGGGACAGCCTGGCACTCATCTACATCTGCAAGGGATGAGAGGCCCATCAGAGGAAGGAATCAAGTCTACAAGGGCTCCCACTCAGCCCTGGCTCCGAGGACCTCCTTCCCTACTTGGTAACTCCCTTACTCACCTTGGCAGGCCCCCGTGCGGATATTGGGGATGAAGCCACGGCGGCAGGGGTGTGGCTGTGCTGGGCAGAGCTCACAGGGGAGGCCCCAGGCACGGCCCACGGTGGCACAGCAGAGTGCCTTGGTGCAGATGAGGCCTGTCAGCTGGTGCTGGCACCCCTCAGGGCTCACTTGGCCAAAGCAGGGCCCTGTCCGGTAGTCTGAGGTACATGGACGTGGATATTGGCAGCTGGCCTTGGGCTGCCCACCCAAGAGCCTTCTGCATCTCCATCCCTACAGCTCCAGCTCAGGCTTCTGCCTCTCACCAGGACCACTGCAGCAGCCACCTCTCCCGCTTCCCTATACATCAGGCTTTCTACTGACCACAAGCCTTGACTCACAGTGTTCTCCTTCCTTACCTGAAAAACTCCTATTCACCCTTCAAAACCCTTTCTCCTCAAAGCGTCCCCCAACCAACCTCCAACAGAGGCCAGTATCTCTGAGCCCACAAAACCAGGTCACATCTGAAGACCCCCACTACTCCCCCAAGGCCCATCCCCGCCTCAGGCATGAGCGGGGACCTAGGGATGCTGGCCGGAGTGCCTGTCTTGTCCCTGAGTGCCTGACAAATCTCCCAGACTTTGGGAGGGACCCAGAATCTGCCCAAACGCTCTGGACCCTCAATACCACATCCCTGAGGTGGTCACGTCACTCCTCCCAGATGGGACTTCCTGGCTCCATCTTCCAGATGGTTCCAATCAAGGAGCTGGCATTGGACCAAGGGAAGCCCCTCCCCGAAGAGGAAGCCAAAGCCAGCCACCCTCCCCCAGGCTCCATACGGAGGAGGGGCTTTACTGAGACTCCTGACAGTCCTGAGTCCCTAAGCAAAAGCGCCGTTCCCAGAATCTCATCCGATTCACCCCACCCCCTCCTGCCTAGGCGCCCAGCTCTGCCTCTCTCTGGGGTCTTCACTGCCCACCGCCCAACCCAGACCTCTCCTCCCTCACCCTCCCCACTGACCCTCACTTCTCCTCTGTCGACCCAAATTTCAATTCTTTTCTGGTCAAATCCAGTTCCCAAAAGCCCACCTTTGACTCAGGTAACACACCAGCTCATTGCCACGCCTCCTCCAACCCAGCTTTGGCCACAGACGCGCCTCCTGCACCCGCAGCACCCCAACGCACACTGGGGTCACTCCCAGGGCCCTGCGTATCTTCGCCGTCCTGAGATCTGTGGCCCCGTCAGGCGCTCTGACGGTTCCTTGCAGCCAAAAACTCACGAGCCCAGCCTCACCCAAAGCCGCCCACTCTGGTTCGCTTACTCCTTCTCAGCCTCCTGTGGGCTCCATTTCTCCGTGTGCCCTTAAATCGCCTTCCCTTCTCTTCCCCCAGAAGCTCAACCATCCTCTCGCTGGCATCCCCTTCCCCCCAGTTTTCTGATCAGACATGGGCTTCGTCCTTGCCTCCATTCCCCCCCTCACCCCCCATGTCCAACTTTTAACAAAACATCTCTGCTTCTGCTGTCTTAGTTTTGGCAACAACCTCTCAACAGGTGATGCCACCCACCTCAGCCCTGGGGAGCACTGACTTGTCTATCTCATGAACTCCAACTTGTCCCTTCCTCCAGGAAGCCCTCCCTGATTCCCTTCCATGGAGCAGAGGGTTTCTCTGCCTTTCACGGCAGCAGGAAAGGAAGGATGGAGGCCAGTTGGACCCTTCCAGGGCCTAGTCATGTCTCAGGGGCTGCCAAGAAGCCGCCCTCCCTCCTCCCAGGCCCCTTCCCCATGACCAGTTTGGTACCTCTCTCACACTGAGGCCCCATGAAGCCGTAGACGCAGGCGCAGTGGTTTGGCCCGATGCAGCGGCCCCCGTTGTGGCAGCCGCGATCACAGACAGCTATAGAGGGAGAGGGAAGGGTGGCCTGAGGTCCCAAACAAGGCTTTACCCAGAAATCACCACAATCTGACCCAGCCCCAGTGATAAGACTATGACAGTGAGTGTGTCCCCTGCAGTCCTTGGTCCCAGAAGAGTGAGCCATGGGCAGTGGGCAGGTAGCAGCAGAGACCTGCCCTCTGGGATCTCGGCCAGGTGTGCATGGGGGATACTCACGCTGCCCGCACACAGTGCCCGTGTAGCCCCTCTGGCACAGGCAGGACTCCCCTCGGCAGCTGCCCCCATTCATGCAGCTCACACTGCACCCTGACCCTAGGGATCGGGAGGAGAGACACACAGTAGGTTAATGACAGACCCCATGACACACATGCAAGGCAGGAGGACTCAGTGTGTCCGGCAGGCTCTGGTCCTTCGGCAAAACCTGCCTGGGCTCCCAGAGGCATCCAGACACCTTTGACCTTCTCCTCCCACCCCGAGGGGCATCCCCCACTTACCTTGGCTCACCCCGCAGCTGGGGGCCAGCTTCCCGTCGGCACAGGCACACAGATTGGGTCGGGAGCAGAAGCCCTCGCCACAGGTGTGCCTACAGACAGCTGACAGGGCAGAGAGGGCAAGAGTCAGGACCAGGGACCAAATCCTGTGGCATCCTCACCCCGTCGGTGCCCGGCCGAGGCCGCAGGCTTCTGCCACAGCTACTGGGAGGGGTGCTCTTTGGGCCAGAACTGCCGAGAGACAAGGATAAAGGCAGAGCTACCGGGGAGCTGGCTGCTGGCTGGGGGGCTCTCCAAGGGAGAGGAGGCAGATGCTAGAGACTGCGGGGACAGACGGAGACAGAAAGACGTAGATGGAGGAGAGAGACAGAAACAGAGAGATTGAGAGACAGAGACACACAGGAATTGAGAGAGGGGAGGCACAAACGGAGACAGATTGAAAGAAAAAGGGAGAGACGGGGTAGAGACTGGGAGAAAAGGAGAAAGACTGAGAGAAAAGGGGAAAGCTAGAGAGACGAGAAATGAAAATACAGAGACAGAGAGAGACAGACAGATGGATAGGCAGACAGATATGGGGAGGTTGTAAACGAACTTGGCGGGGTGGCCGGGGAGCCTGAGGGCATCAGCGAGGGCCATTTCTGTAGTTCAGCTAGACTCCCCCAGCCCAGGCCACCTGTACATAGGGTCGGACTTGCGGGCAAGTAGGAGAATTGCGCCAATGCCCCCCATCTGCACCCCTACCTCACATGGCAGTGGCACTCACGTATGACACACTGGCTCCTGCCGGGCAGCGTCCTCCAGCCTGGGCAGCAGTAGGCGTGGAAGCGAGAGCCACACACATTAGGCCTTGGGGAGAATACGGCATGTCTGGTGATTCCCTGTTTATCTAGATGTCCCCTGGGGCTTGTCCCCTCCCACCCAGAAGGACAGCCGAACCCAGCCCACACCCGAGGGGCCTCTCAGCATCCTCGGTACCACGCACCCCTGCAAGATGCCTGGGCTGCCACGCCTACGCACACGTCCAGAACCTGCAGGCTCCACGGCCCCGTCCCAGTGGCCCCGCACACCCGCCACACACGACAGGGCAGTCCAGGCCAGCAGGAGCCGAGCCAGAGGTCCCCAGGCCATGATGAGGGCACCAGCCCCTCTCCTTGTCAAGCACAGACCCTCCAGAACCATGACGTGTCCCTCGGAGGCTGTGGACAGGAAGCAGAGTGAACTCCAGCAGAAGTCCTTGGCCATGGGGCACCCAGGAGAACCAGGAGCAGCGGGACAGCGGCCCAGGGCCTGTGGGAGCCCAAGGAGGCATCCAACCCCAACCCAGAGGCAGGTGAACAGTCAGAGGAGGCTTCTTGGAGGAGGTGTGATGGCTCAGAGATAGAGTTAGCCAAGAGAAACGTGCTGAGGCAAGGAGTCACAGTGAGGCCAGAGGGAACGAGGGCATGGAGCGCTGAATGGAGGGGAGAGAGGGCCCAGGGAGCCAGTGTTGCAAGAGTGCAGAGCTGTGTAATGGAGCTGCCACTTACAGGTCAAGGGCAATGGAGAGCCCTTAAAGTGCTTTAAGTAGGAAGAACAAGGGCAGACATGGTGTTGGATGGAGTGTAGGAGCCGCGGAAGAAGCGTGCAGAGCAGGAAGTTGGGCAGACATTCGCATGAGAGAGGACAGAGGAGAGGATCTCATTGATAACGAGGAGGTGGGGTACAGAGGAGTTTCAGGGGGCGGGAGGCTTGAGGGGACTCCCGGAATTGTCTGGGAGGGCTGAATGGGGAGGGGAGGGTTGGTGGTAAGTCCAGGAGAGGCAGCTTGACCTTCTGGGCAGGGGTACTGGGCAGAGGTGGGGACTTCCCAGTGTGGAGCACACCCCTCGGCCCAACAGAGGAAGGTCAGCTTGTGTGCCCACTTCACAGAGGAACAAACGAAGACCATCACAGTGAGCAAGGGGCTGAGGAAGGATCGAAGCCCGGGCAGAACGGAAGGAGGGGAAGCGGATCAGGGCACCGCCCGCCTCCAGGAGGTGGGTGATTGGCTCTCTCCAGACCAGGAAGGATGAGAGGGAGATGGGAACAGGGCCACTCCAGGTGGAAATGACCAGGCAAATTTTGAATACTTGGAGGAAAGAAGCTAGATCTAGTGGCCCGTTTGGGGGTAGGTGGGTGGCTTTCAGGTCCCACTTTCTGGATAAGGGAGGAGGACAATTGGACCTGGGTGAACGAGAAATGAAAATACAGAGACAGAGTAGCAGGCTGTGTGCCCTCGAGCAAGTAGCAGCTCGTCTCTGGGCCTTGGGATGACACAAGAGCCCAATCAGGTGGTCCCTCGGAGAAGGAAGGAGCTTTGTCAGCTCTGGCGGGGAGGCAGAGGAGAGTCGCCCGGCTGAGCGGGGGCATCCCCTTCTCGCTTTCAAGTTGTCCAGGCCGATCAGCACCTCAAGGACGCCTGCTCCGGGCAGCCTCGGGGACCGCTCAGCCTTCCTCCCGCTCGGGGCCGGCCTCGGGGGTCTCCAGTCTGGCCTGAACCGGGCCCCTAGCCCTGCCTCCGCGCCCCACGCCCCAGAGTTGGTCGAATGAATGAGCGGAGAAGGCGCGCGCGGCTGGGGCGGGAAGCCGGGCACGGGAAAGCATGGAGGGGGCGCGCGCCCCCGGAGTCCGCGGGCCGCGG